TATTCATTTCACTTCAGGGCAAGTCATATGTCATCATCTCTCCCGCGACTTTGGAGCCCTGTAGGAGAATTTGAACGGTTAGGACAAGGCATTATCCTCAGTCTTATTAACAACATTAACAAGTAATGTGCTAAAATTTGTCATAAACGGGTAAGCAGATAGACAATTATTAATCCAACTAAGTTATTGACTAAAATGTATTTGGCCTGACTGAGCATCAAATCCCATTGGACAGCTTCTTACGACAAGACATTCAAAATATAACAAATTCAAGTCAATAAAATATCGAGAGTACTTAAAGATAGCGAAAAATCCTAACAGATATGCTCATCTAATAGCTAATAAATTCAACATTTTTCTCTCCCACTTAAACCAATCCAATAATAATTTGGAAAATGAATATCAATAACATTTCCACAATCAAATGAGAATTGCCTGATTAAAAATTCAATCTTTAACCAAAAAGAAAATAAGCAAGAACATAATTTAACCTCGGTATTCAATTTGAAGTCACCAAGTTTCCACAGCCCCTTCCTCACATATTTATCACACACGCAAATTCTCCGGACACCGCCAGCATTAATCTATTCGCCAAATCAGCCACATCATCCGTCAAAACACCAGGAGTGTTAGTGACTCTAATCCCTTTCTGCTTACATTTGATCAAATCAATTTGATCCAATCCGACAATAAAACACGAAACTATTTCTAAATGGGCAATGCCTCGATCAAGCCAGCGTCTGCTCCGGCAGTGGCTCGGCGTGTTGGTTTAAGAATTCCTGGCAACTGTATGTAGAGTTGGTCCAGTGTTTGATGGGCCCTGAGGCGAACGATGAAAATTAGGCCTCCCAAGCGACAAAATTCAAAGGTGTATTATGCTACTCATTGCTAACTTAAAAAACTAACATTAAAACATCAACGAAATATATCATAGAAACGATTTATATTATCAATTATCAAATTAAAGATTTCAAACAATTAGTTAAATACTATTCGTCTTTCTGTTTTAGAGGTAAAAATATCAATCAAATCAGAATAACTTAGCTGTTCAACCATTTCTTTTTCTATTGATAACACAGACAACTCGTTTAATCTTTCTTGTGACATAGTTGATCGGAGATAGGTCTCAATCAACTTCAATTTCGAGAAAATTTTTTCCACAGATGCAACTGTAACCGGTATGGTTAACAAAATTTTGTAAACAATATAAGTATTTGAGAAACAAACATCCAATGTATTCAAATAGTGTAGCACTTCAATTGCTCTTGTTGTTTCATTTGGTAAATAAATTTTCAAGACTTGTAACTCCGAACATAAATCATCTCCACTGATATCCGAAAGCTCATCATGTTCAAGATATTTCTCAAGATTTATACAAGAGTTCAACAAACTTGATAAAGTTGCACTCCTTAACCTCTTCAAATTAAACAAAAATCCAAATATATTATCATATTGTTTGAATTGTTCAAATCGAGTTCTCAGAGAAGATAGAGCTTGATCAATTATAAAAACAAAGTACTCAACTCTAAATGATTCTTCCGCCGATTGATTTACCTCATTACTACAGTTTTCATCAAATTACTTTTTTCTTCGAATTATGCATTTTTCTGTAAATACAACTTCAATTCCTATTTCGTTTGCCTTTTTTGTCGCTTCATCCATGGCAATGGGAAATCCAATTTCTCTATAATCTTCAAAAAAATGAAACAAGTCCTTGGCAATAGGTCGATAGTATGATCTATATCCATGGATTCGATTTGAGGAAATTTACTCACAATATCGACTGTATGCAAGAATCTAGGGGTGGGCGTGGGTCGGTTCGGTTCTAAAGAGAATCGAACCGAACCAAAATTCTCGAGTATCTAGTAAATGGAACCGTTGGGTCCAAATATATTTATAGAACCGTTCGGGTTCGGTTCAGTTCGGTTCTGTACTATGATTAAAAAATTTAACATTTATAACAACATTCCATAAATACAACTAATGATACATTCAATGATTTTGGAATGTCTGAGACTAGTAGACTACCTTATTCAAATGATCGATACGGTCAAAGTTTTGGTCGACGGAGGTCATAGCGTCGGTCAACAATTGTATAGGTTTTGGAATGTTAGCGAGGCTACGAGAGTGAGTGCAAGAGTCAAGACAACGTTATGCACTTTAGTGTAGGTGTTTAGGGCTATTTAGTGGATTAGATCTTGTTGGGCTAAAAAATGGAACAATAAAATGGGTAATTGGGCCAAAAATTAAAAAATTAGAAATGAAACAAATTATTGGGCCAAAAATTTGGATTTAGAAATTGTTAATTTGTTTAGAAAAAATTAAAATTAAAATAATTTGATTTACTCAATATAAAAAAAATTTAGAAAGATTCGTTTCTTTTTCGGTTCTTCGGTTCTTGGTCTAGAACCGAGAATCGAACTGTACCCGTCGGTTCTCAATTCAGATACCCGTTCGGGTATTTAATTTGACAAGAACCGTCGGGTTCGATTCGGTTTAGTTCGATTCGGGTTCGGTTCGATCGGTTCGGGAGATTTGCCAGCCTTACAACAATCTGTACCAGATTACCATGCCAAGCAAGAACTCAAAATTCGGAAGTTCATTTGTTGCCAACGCCTTAGCTTCACTCTTTACTTTAGGATCTTTATTTAGTTTCTGCCAAATCAAGTAATGCTTCACTTATCTGTGCAGTTTGCTCCATTATAGGCTTCACACTCTCAACATGACTTTCCCAACGTATTTGTGACAACGGCTTCACTGTGAACCCTTTTACATTATCTTTAAAAATTTGTCATCGCTTGGTAGAAGATGAAAACAAAGTGTAGATGTGTTGTATCACTCCAAAGAAGGATATAGCTTTGGAACAACAATTCACCATATCACATAATGCTAGATTTAGACTATGAGCGTCATATGGAGTATAGAAAGCTCAGGGATTCATTTCATGTACTCTTCTTTGCACAGATTTGTGCTTTCCACTCATGTTAAATCCGTTATCATACCCTTGCCCTCTAATGTCATCAATATCCAGATCGAGTTTGATCAAAGCCTTTTGAAGCTCGGTTGTAAGTCCAAGTCCTGTTGTGTCATCTACTGATATAGGATAACTAGCTTTGCAGTTTGAAGAAGTGTTGGACAGAAAATTAACAAAGAAAAATCGTACTAGAGGCAATGTTGTCATTTGTCGCGACGGTGTCGGAATGGGCTGAAATTTGGTAGGTTGATTAAAAACGGCCCGAGAAATTGGACTCGGGACAAAGCCTGAGATCTTGGGATTTTAGCCAAATTCCTTCGTTTAGGCCTTCGAATAATTAATTTTCGTATTTTCGTTTTGAATTTTCGCTATTTTTGGAACGTTTTATTTTTTTCTATGTTTTAGGGTTTCTTGTGACGCCTATTTAATGGCTTTTGGAACGTTTTCCGTCATCATTGAAGAATATACAAGTTTCATTCTTGGAGAATTCCAATATTCTTATTTTCAAGATTTATGTTGGTAAATCTTTTGTTTTTTTTTTCTTATTTCCATTCTACGTCAAGTGGTATCAAAGCGAGGATTTGCCTTGTTCTTCAATGGCCCACAACAACGACGGAGGAAGAGTTCATCCTCACGACGCTGGTCTCAGGGAAACAGATGCGAAACTGTGGGTGGCAATTGACGA